TTATTATTTTTGTCTTTGACTCTTTAAATTTGAATGTATGAAATTTTTTTTGAAATCTTATCAAATGTCAAAAATCCATGAAAATTCTACAAAATCCCACAGAATCCATTAAAATCCTGATTTAAAAGTCTTGCAGAATCCATTAAAATCCTGATTTTAAGTCTTGTAGAATCCTGCAAAATCTTAAAAGTCATGAAAATCCTGCAAAATCTTTTAAAATCCGTAGGATTTTTTTTAACTAAAAAAGTCCTTTAAAATCCTAATCCAATACACCCCCTTATTAAAAAGTATATTGAAACATATCCTTAATCTTTATCATTAATATTCTATTAATTTGATCCAACTTTGGTAACTATTACTCATTTTAGCATCTAATTTTAGATTGCATCATGGTCTTTAATGACGATGACCAAATTAAGTGATGATTATGAATTTAAAAAGACTAAATTACATTTTTGGTTTTTTTTTTTTTTTTTAACAATTTATAATTTTGGTCTTTATTTTAAAATAAAGATATTTAATTATCTAATTTTAAAAATATAGAATTTTCATTTTTTCGTTAGATTGACATTTTTTAATAATTAAATTTTAACATTTATTTATACTTAAGTATCATGAGATTTAGAAACAAAAAAAAAACTAAAAAACCTACAAATAAAATTTATTAATAAAATAAATATTAATAAGTTGTTAAAATATATATAAACAAATATTTTTAATGTTATTTTTTAACTTTTTACTTGTATATGACATGTTAATAAATATCACATTATTTAAGTAATTATAAATCACATAATAATGTCAAAATTTAACAATCAGCAAGTATCAAATTGATAATAAGATAAAAAAATGTGTATTTTATAAATATAAAGATTAAATATCTCTATTTTAAAATATATAAAAAATTAAAATTAAAAATTGACAAAAATAAATGCATGAAAAGTAAATTCTAACCGTTTAAAAACTAAATTAACTGACATTTAGGGATTAAATTGATTAACCATGTTAATTTTAGGATATAAATTAATTGACAATTATGAAAGTAAGTGAATGAAATTACTTTCTTATAACATGGCAAACCAAAAATTGGTACTTGCAATTTGAGAAACTAATTTAATGTATTTTTTTTTATATATATATCTTAGCATGTTGTTACTTGTGCGCTGTAGCTTTGGTAGGTTTGGGCCTTTGAGTTCATGTGGGTCAGTTGGCTTGTTTTTGTCTGCGGCCTTTGTGCTACCGAAAAAAAAAATGTAAAACCATCTCTCTTCACATCTATCAAGTAAATCATATTTTATAACATGTTTGTTTGTTCTATTGATGGCCTTTAGAATTTAGAAACATGTTGATCACTTAATGTTGACCAGTTTTATGTTCCTACTACAATTATAAAATTTTAGTTAATTATTAGCCTCTTTATCAGATGGGTTGCAAATTCTTTGCTGGATTAAAATTTGCATGTATGCTAACATTATATTTTGCCGCATTAAATGTGAAACAAATTAAAAAGTCTGCCAACATTGGTGCAAAACCATATGCTTCTATTGATTCCGAGTCAAACCACATCAGTAATAATCCTAGTCTAAAGTGCGAGTCATAAATGAAGTTTAGGTAAAGACTTGAAGC